CACTGTATTTTTTATTTTATTTTCTGTATCCACAAAACTGTTGCTTCCATGAAAAAGGCCACAAATAAACTGTCAACTTTTTATGTCTTTTGTATTTAGAACAATTCTGTGATCACAGAAAGTTGCATTGCATTGTTCAGATATGACAGAGAAATTCATTCTTACAGTTTATTCTTTTGTGTGCCTTCTGCTAAATAAACTCAATAAACAGATTTATAGAATTTATACTCTGGCATGTTGATTGACTTGTCTGTTGTGATCTGAAGTTTTTTCTAATGAGTTTCTATTTTCATATGATCGACTGAACTAGTATGCATGTTTTTGAGACCACCATGACATCATTTTTCACTATTGACAAAATGACACAAGAATATCAAATCATGCAGAATGTTAGCGGTATAACAGTTGGTCTGAAATTAAAGAGTGTGACAAGCCAAATACAAAACTACTGAAGGTCAGTACGTACTATAACTAAATAGAAATCCATTCCTCCATTAGCTATACAACTTACTCCTAGAAGAGTCACAGGGAGGCTGGTGCCTATCCCTATTTGTCCAACTTCCTATGATGAATGGGACAAAATGAAACAAGAAAAAAGAGAAAAATGGAAATGAATGTCCTTTTTTAGTTTTCGATTTTGTTAAACTTTGAGATTAGCTGTTCCCATCAATAAAGAAGTAAAGGGAAATTACTATAAAATGCTATTCAAAGAAGTAAAACAGTAAAAATTATTCAATCCAAAACATTTTTTGTGCTCACTAATTGTGCAAATGGCAGGGAGAACCATACTGCAAAACCAATATTAGTGTCTTACAACTTCAAACCTTCACACATATTTTGATTTTGAATACTGACACATACTGGAATCTGACTATCTTTGACTATATGTTTTCATGTAATTATAGTTGTTGCGAATTATTGTTACAGTCAAACAAAATCTAACCATATTTTGTAAACAGTTTCAAACAGTTTCATGGTTTATATCCATTACATTTAGATGGGTCTGTGATACTATTAACATATAACAATATGGGAAACTTAATTCCTAAAAACCAAGAACTTGTAATAAAAGGTAACTCTACAAACAACTAAGAATGCTTCAGTGTTGTATTGCTCCTACTGCTTGGACAGCAGTAACAAGGGTGAGAGAGACGGCAGAAATGAGAACAACATCAAAAGTATCAAACAGTAAAGCAGCCAACAGCCAACGCAGCTGCAAAAGACCAAAGCAGTGACAGGGCAAAGTTAAGATGGCAGCACTTGTTTGGTTTCCATGTTTTTGGGAAAATTTCAGTCATGGTGGCTTATAGCTAGGAAATATGACTATTTCCTGTTTTATCAGCAAAAAAAACAACGACACAGATATTTCTGGATTTGTTAATAATAACAATAATGACTTCAATGGAATGACTTCTCTTTGTACACACGAAATCACTATGTTCTCTTTTAGCAACACATTAAGCAAAACAAAATGGACCAGTCTATACATTTGCATATGTTTTCAACGTTACAAACATCCTATCTAAAAGTATTTTGCAAAAACAAACAGTGAATTTATGACTCAAGCTTATAACTATATTCATTGTTTGGCAGGCAAATTCTCAGATAAACTATTTATGATCATGCTTTTAAATGCATACCTCATGGATCCAAACATTCTTCATTAACCAAAATATACCAAAACAGCATCTCAAAAACACACCCATAAAGGAAAAAAATTACTTCTATTTAGTTGGCAAGTTTTTTCTTAAAAATCAACATGGCCATCTACATTTTTCTTTAAACTTTTAGTTCCTTATAGTTCATTTGACATGAAGGAAAAGTTTCTGTATTAATGAATGGAACAAGTCTCAGTTCAAAGTCTTGGTTACAGCAGTACAAGTAGAAAACTTTGCAGAGTAAGTATTTATGAAAGCGGTATCATGCTTCAAAGACAGGATGTGATTCCAGTGTTCCTAGTTGCTTGAATGCCATTGTTTTTCTAGTGCAGAGGAAGGAAATTAACAGGAGTTTCCTTTAAAAGAGGAAAAGTGTCCTTTTCCTCTCTGGTGGAGCAAACATATTTGTAGTGAAAGAGGGACAAAGGAGAGGAGAGTTGGAACAGTCGTTGTTGGCCATTCATTTTAGAAGTTAGTACCATTATTTGAATGTTTGAATCCTAAGGAACACATACCATTGCTTTTTAAGGTAAGCGAAGCAATAACTTTAATTTCAGTGATGTTTTTGCAAGTTAACAGTTACTATCCCTTTTCCTTTCTTTTCTATTTAACTGTTTTCTTTTCCTTTTTTCACTTGTTTCCACTTCGCTATGTTGAAAGTTTCTAAAGTTTACGATTCATTTAGAGGCTAGGCCATGTAAACCACAGCCCTTCAATCTATCCAACCTAATGGCACTAGTTTGTGAATGGAAAAATATTGAATATTGAATTTTTAACAATCCAAGAAAGTGAACTAAGCAGTTATAAGTGATGTTTTTACCCCTGGAATTTCACTTCAGAAATACATATATATGCCTCACAATACTAAACGTTCTGAGGTAATTTACCGTACCAGCTTGCTTATTGGTATAAGCAGAGCTAATCTGCCACTGCTCTAAAGAAGGGCATGCTGGTGTGTTCACTAAGAAAGCAGATGTTAGATGATAATGTAGTTTACCACATAGGTCTGACATCTGACATCACATGTGTCCTGCAGAGAATAGCCAGATGGTGTCCTTGACTCTTGCAAAAATAAAAAAGGTTACACAGAACAATTGCCTGTTACTGTGCAGTACATTTGATCCTATCTAATCTAAACAGGTGTTTAATATGTTGTTAAAATAGAAATTACATATAAATAATTTTTAAAGTCCTGCTATAATTAAGGATCCATTTAAGTCCTATGGCACATTGTGCATAAATGCTAACAGAGATTTATAAAGTGTGTTGAAAATCTCTATGAAGCTTTTTTTAGTGATGATCAGAAATTGTGAGGATGTAGCATTTCACATCTTTACCCCACTCATTTTTAAAACAATTATTTCTCTTACAAGTATAATACCACATATACAATTGAATCTGAATAGCATTTTATAAAAGGTGCATCTAAGAATTAATGTGTGCAATTAGATCAAAATGACTGCACAGAGGAAACAGTAATAGTATGAGGCCAGCAACACAAGCAGGACACAGTTTTCTGGTTCCATGAATTCATGAAGTTAATTAATGCTAATTACATGCTGTGACTATAACGACAGCTTTTTTAAACCGTGATAATCAAACTAAGAACTGCCACATGAAATTATTTAAACTTTCTGTGAAATACCTTTAATCCAATATTTATGGTCCAGTTCTGATTAAAGTGCTGCAATGAGTAAAATAGAAAACACACTGTAAAATCATGCAGTGCAGTTAAAATCCAAAGTCCTCAACCCTATCATTTTTTAACACTCCGCATAGAGCCTCTTGTTTTTGATAAAATGTGGTTATTTGGGTGATCAGCATTTGTGCTATAAAATGCTTTGTGTTATAGAGGGAGGATACAAGGCAAATTCAAGATGGGTTCCAATGCAAGACAGAAAGCAAGTGAAGAGGTGTTGTCATGGATGTGCACACTGTAAAACATTTCAAATAGTCAGGATTCTAAGCAATCTGCTGAAGCCAGATCCGCTGTGGGAGGTGGTGTTGGCAGATGAGAACAATTGAGTGCCAGGTTCTCCTCTCACCTTTTTCAATGTGGGTGGAAATTAGGAAAAACAAAGACAGGACTGCGTTTTCAATTCAATGTTATTCACAGTAATAAAAGTTAAGTTTGACTGTTTTTTCTTATTTGTTGATAGAAAATGAGTGTATGCTGTAAAATCGTACTGGTGATAATGCTTGTTCTTTACAGCAGTTTTTGTAAAAGTGAAATTTGTTCTTTGGAAATGGATATGACAAATGATAGGAGATTGTAGGTCTCGTGTTAAATTGTTCATGAGCTTTCTGTCTGCCATCAAAGCTGCCTTCCTTCTTGTACTTTTAATCAATACAGTAGACGTTAAGAGTAAAGTCTTTTATCAACTGCTCTCAAGCCAATTCTCAAATTGTAATCAGGCTAAAATGAAGGGAGGTATTCTCTGATTGTCCAGGTTTCTCAAATGTAGGTTGTTGGATTGGTCTATAAGGTTTTAAGAATAAAAATCCCCCTTATACTATGCTTCCATATGACTGATGTCATATGTTTGGTGGTCCCAAAATTACAGGACTTTATCCTTAGTTTTACTTTGAATGCAAAAGCAATGCCTGATGGTTATTACAAAGAGAACAAAAACAATTCTCAGATGCTCCGACTGTAGAAAAGGCAGCTTACTGACCTTGAAGGTTGATCAGTATGTACTTTTTCCCTTGTAATAGCTGGGGGCTTTCAAGACAGTTGACTGGTGGAGAATATTTTTTCTGCGTGGCTACCTACATTGAGACTTTCCCCCATGGGATTCTGTTTGATGTGCGAACAGCAGACTGCACAGATGTGTGCCGGAGTGAAATGAATTTCTCTTGCCTTTGTCGGTCTGAATTAATGTATTGTTTATTAATGAGAGACATTAAAACATCCCTACATTATTTGCATAGAGCAATTTATTTGCAAAACGAAGTAATTAGGACAGAGCGTTAACCAGTAATCCTTCGTCCCGCCTTTCCCAAGCAGTGATTTACTTTGTTAAGGTGTGACCTCATCATCCTGGCTCCATGATACCTCGCCTCCCCCAAGCAGCATGAACAGGCAGCCACCTTATCACTGACATATACAGCAACACACACATAGCCACACAGAGCTGCAGCAGAGGGTCTAAAAGGGCTTGTAAGATTTTCTCATTTTGATTTTAGTGTATATGTGTCTGGCTCTCGGAGAGAGAGAGTGTGTGTGTGTGTATGTAAGTGTGTGCATAGGAGAGGCAAGCTGAGAGGGAGAGAGAAAGAGAAAGCGAGGAGGAGAAGGGGAGGGAGTGTGGATCATGCATGTGCATTAACTCCGCTCTAGCACAGCAGCAGCAGCAGCAGCAAACAGAAACAGCAGCAGCACAGGAGGGAAGGAGAGAAAGAGAAAGACAGAGAGGTAGAGTTTGGAGGGTGGGTTGTAGTCTCAGGAACAAAAGCTGCAGAAAAACCGCTTTCCATATCCACTAAAAGAACAACGGAGGAGTAAAACACGGAGGAGGAGGTAATAGTAGTAGTGACATACTAGCAGAAGAGAAGAAGCATATTGTAGTCAGTGAAGGCTGAAACCAAGGCTGCTCTCTTCCCTGCTCTCCATGTTTTTGGGGACTCAGCGTACCATTGCTTTCGTCTCCTAATCCAGAGGAGGATGTCTGTGTCAGGGAAGAAGGAGTTTGACGTGAAACAGATCCTCCGGCTCCGCTGGCGCTGGTTCAGCCATTCATCCCAAGGCTCTGCTGGTAATGGAGGGGGTGGTGTTGGTGGCGTGGGAGGCTTCATCCAGCAGGATGGCTTGGACCACAGAGGAACAGCTGTCCAGGGAAGGCTGAAGAGCCACTCACGGGAAAGAGGCGTTGGAGGACTACGAAAGACTAACAGCCCGGTCCACAGCATCTTGGCGCCAATGCCAGGCCCCACTCCAGTCTATGTCAGAACGGGTCATCAATCATGGCATCATCAGCCGAGCACGATCCAAGGCCTCCAGGTCAGTGAGGAGTCTTCAAAGAGCAGTTCCTCTCCCAGCGCCACAAGGAAAGAGGAAACAAAACCTGGCCAGGAAGATGTGAAAAGCTGCACAGAGGAACCTGCAGAGGTGGAGGCAAAAGAGAGGTATGGTGATTATTGGGATTGAGAAACTTCAGAAGTCACTGTTCATTTAATGGTGAACAAGTGGAAGCATCAGTTAAATGAAAAGAGAATATAAGACTGTTGCCGGCACTCCATAATGAAAAAATAAAAGTTTTAGTTTCATTGATGAGTACAGCAGTGCTTTAAATAGTTTATGATGTTTCCATAGTGTTAACAGGCATGGTGAAAATCTGTATTTTGCACTGAGAGAACATCTGCTGCATAACTTAATGTTTGCAGTGCCCTCCTGCTTAAATGAATGCTTTTAATTAGAATAAGATTAAGCTGCACATTCATTAATTTTCATTTTATTAGATGCCATCATGGTTCACTTGAAGACAGCTCCATCTCACTGTTGAACCCCAAAAAATCCCTTTAATCATTCAGTGCACTTAAAGTCCAGATCATGCACACTATCTACATTTGCCTTATTTCTCAGTGTATTTAGTTTTAACATGGCAAACTAAAGCATTCCTTCATTAAGTTGAAAATAGATGTTGAGAAAAACTCAAAACATCACATTGCAGATCTGGGACCTATAACAAGAAGCAGAAGCCTACCACAGCTATGTCCACTTTATGAGCTGCAAACTGTCACCACTAGTGGCTGGCACAGAATGATTTCTTAAAAAATATATTTTTCTACTGAACTGTCTGAAACCAGTATCCCAGTAAAAAAAAACCCATCCCTTGCTATGCTCCTGCATGCTCTTCCAGGTGTTGGCAGGTTAGGGTTGTGTGTGTGAGTGTGAGTCTGGCAGAACACAAGAGCACCACACTTGATAGATGAAAAGACAGACTCTCCTTTTATCTTCTCTGTGACATTCTAAGGTGATTGGTCCTCAAGGTTTGCTCATTCCTGTGTGCTTTTATTCCAGGCATCTGCTAAAAAAAAGAACATTGAAAGTAAACCTGCCTCTTTGTTTTCACACAAGGCCTGCTTTGATTGGTCAGGGAATTCTTGATATGTATCCCACCTACAGCCAAAAATGTGTCAATGTGGATTGAGTGAATGCCACAGGCATTGGATGGTTGGGCTCCCTGAACTGAACATAAATTATTCTGAGTTAAGATATGGCTTCAGATTCAACTCCACACTCTGCTCTTCGTGTTGGCATAATTGGCAGATGTTCACGTTTTGGAGTCCCAATGTGTGAAAACTGCATGCATAAAAGATGTGCCTCACAGTAGAAATGTGTAACTCTCAAGCTCTCAGGGACCTTGAGTTCATGCCAGCCATGTAAAATACCACACATCCAGCATATTTTGACAATGATATTGAATTATTGAAGCATTTTTGCTCTATTGGATCAAAAAAGCTATCCTTAACTCAAACATGCTCTACTTTGACAATATTTATTCACAAATTACATAACATATAATGAAATCATGCTTTTACCCCCCCTAAAAATGCACAATAAAAAAGTAAACAATGTTTCCTTATCATACAATGAAAGAAATGGTATTAGTAATTGGATTTCATATAGAAGTCCTTCTGTTTAAGTTGATACTATTTCTAATCAGAATCACAACTAATAGCAATCTTTAACTTGAAACTTGGGACAAGTGCTGCATGTGCAGCTTAGCCTGAAATATACCAGTGCCCGTGTGACACATCATAGCTCACACATTCATCTGTAACTTAGCAGATGTGTGGATGTCACTGAGATATGTACATTCATTTACTGCAGCAGCCGGGTGGCCCTATTACGTCTCACATCATAAATCCTTGACATGTAATTTGTCACAACCCGTCAGACTAAATCTAGATATCAGTTGTGTTGGCTGTGAAAAATACTAAACTTTAGCCATTATTATGTAGTTGAACAATATGAAGTGGCTAGCTTCATTCAGAAAATTGTTCATATCAAGACGTCTGCTTAATTTTTTAATTAGTCTTTTTTTGTGCTACATATATCAATATTTCACTTTGATGTAAAATATTATTTCTAATGTTTACTTACACATATGTAGTATTTGTGCTGTTATGATTTTTCTTGCTCCATTAGCTTCCCTCTGAATTAGAATAACCTTTTCGATCCAGCAGACTGCAGCAGTACTTATCTGCAGAGCAGCTAAATCAGGTACACTGTAGAAGGCAGGTGCAGGTAATGCCTTTTTTTCTCATCTATATACACTATATATTTATTGTGTCCTCATGACTTTCATCCAAATAACCTTCCCTGTAACATTTCAAAGAGAATATATGGCTGAAGTTAACCTGGGTAGAATAGAAACCCTGACCTCCCTCACATAAAAACTAACAGAGACTTGAGTCAGCGGGCTGTTAGTTTGAATGATATCTCAATTCCCTCTCCTCTGCCTTAGAAAAGAAATACCACCACCTCTCCCCCTGTCGACAGCAGTAATTCAAATATTTATTGAATGCCTCATAACGGCACAAGGCTCAAATGGTCTATGTGTGACACATCCAGCGGACACCTTTTTTAAGGCGCTCTAAATTACAAAACTCAGCATATCCATCATAATCCACCAGAAGTTTGTAGATTTTTTTATATTGCATCAAATTGGCATTATGTGCCACAAAGCCTATCCTACATGAAAGCCAAAAATGACATAGAAAGGGAGAAGGCCTACCATATCATTAAAAGCAGAACACAGTCTGGAATTTCTGTTCATAATGGATCTAACTTTTTATTTAATCCAAATGGAGCTAATTCCATGAGAATAATCTCTGACACTCTTTTCAATGAATGCATTAGTGGGGGGCATGCCTTCTCTCAAAATGTGTCCTCAGTCCCCTTGCATACAAATAAAGTCAGGAAGTATAGATGACTGCTATCAAACTGAATATATGACGATGTAGATGTAATAAAGTGTTTAAATAACTACTTAGTTTGCATGATTGAATAATGTGATAGCATTAAGTGAAAAATGTCCTTCAAATGAAATTCACAAAAGGGTATTTGGTTAAAATGTGTGAATGGCCTCTAAATTAGCACCCTTCAGAGGGAGGAACATGAGCGCTTCCAAAGTGAAGCAAACATTAGTCTCATGTATTGCTTTTAATATGCCACAAAGTCCACAAACCCACAATGTTTCAAGAGAACAAAAGAGAATCTTGAGTACCACAGCAAACCATGGGCTAAGAAAACCTACCAATGCTCCCTGTTGCTAACGGGGTTTAGGATGAACAAAAAGTTGTTGTAACGGTATAAAACTGAAATCTTTGGTCACAAGTAGATGTCATTTCTTTTTTCCTTAATTTTAACTGAGTTTGGAAGGATGGAGTCAGAAAAATATAAGCAACAATACAAGGAAAATACGAATAAAATTCATAGACTTTAGGCGTAATTATATGTGCCAAAGAAACATGAAATTATAGTCATCCTTCAAACTCTAAAACCACTTGAATTCAAACTGCGAACGGAGGAGTCAGAGCTCTAATATTACCCCTGCTTTGTTTAACATATTTCAGTTAGTGAAATGTTGTTGAGAAGGTTGTGTGGTTGTTGCTGTTTATTTTAATATATGTTACATTAAAACTGCTGCTCTAATGCTGCAGATTAATTTCTTTTAAATGAATTACGGAGCATCCATCAGTGACACTGTACAAGTTAACCTGCCATCAGCAAAGCAGTAAGGACTTTTCTGCCATCATCTGCACTTTTTTCAGTTACAGAACGCCCAGACCCCCGCACATAAATACTCTCTATATTTTGAAGACACTCATCAGCATAATGCATTTCTTAACCCTTTACTCTAACCATAACCATGGTTTACTTTACAGAACTTGTTTTTTTCTGCTCTCAGGGCCACCATAAAGAATATATGAGATCATATATAATTTCTGGTAACAGCTGTGGCAATTTTCCATTATACCTACTCATATAAAGGGCCTGGTGACTGCACAGAGCAAATTTCAGGAGATATGGTTTCTCCTAAGTCATTGTCAAAACTAAGAGGGCATGTCAGTTCAACTTTAACTTCTGAACATGAATAGCTATTGTGAGTTTTTGTGAGAAAGGAAAAGTGCTTTCAGAAAAAAATATTCTTTTGCAGATTCTTTAGCTAAACTTCATTTTCTGAATCAAGTCTGTACAATGCGTTAGTGTGCTCCTCTCAAAACAAAGCCCTGTAGCAGTGCAGTGTCTGCCATTGGACAAAAAGCATAAAGGGCTCATGGAAGACGTAGACTTGGCAAATACTGCACGGGGCTTTGTAGGTTGAAAGTTGTTTGATTCCCATACCATCTCAAGCTGCTCTGCAGCCTTCTGGGGAAAATGGCTGTTATAATCCATTTTGAAAGATACATTTCCTATTTGGCCCAGGCAGGCATAACGTTCCCTCTAAGAGACGTGCGGCGACATTGGTTGGTGTGAGACTGAGAATTTCAGCAACACGTCTGACATTTACAGTTAAGAGCTAATCTGGCCGGCAGAAGGCAAATCTTGAGCCTTCTAACCATTGATCTGTTTATCCTCACATAACTCCTTTTAGTTATTATTCATGATTGCAGCAGCTGTTTGTATCTTCTGAGGGGAAAAAAGCAAATGGAAATTCAATGGAGCAGTCTTGATGAAACTGTGAATACTGCATAGGCTCCTCATCACCTGCTTATCATTAAATATGCAGTGTCATTGGGGTGTCTTGGAGATAGTCACAAAGTGATGAGATAGTTTTTGAGAAAGTGTGAAGAGAAAATGACAAGAGTTAAGGTGATGTTAGCTCACCAAAGAAAGTCTGCCATCGAATGATATGTGATGTGAAATAAAGCAAAGCACTCTGTTCTGGTATAAATCATTCAGTTTTGTTCGTAAAATGAATGTTCTTTTTTTTTCTTTTAGTTTGTACACAGTTAATTAAATCTATATGGTTCCTCAGACTCTCTGTGAACTGCTTAGTAATGTGGTGCAGCATTGTCCTCACAGCAGTTTCTCTGTCACAAGGTGTTTTGGAGTTTTAGTACCTCAATAAAATCCTGCTATACCTCTGATGATCCAACCCACTACAAAAAGTAAAATATACACCTCTGAGCAAATTTACTGCTCCCCAGAATGTGATATCAAAGCAATTAGTGTCGGAGAGATTGGTAGGCATGAAAAATCCTTACAGCATGTCTTGGAGCCAACACAAAAGCAATGGATCTTAGTTTTATAGCCCGATTGCTTATTCAGTCTTGTTTGGTGTTGCTTTGCAAGACTCCAGCGTCAGTAGGGAATACTGAGGCAGGGCAATAAATTACTCTTGCATTTAGCATAAAGTCTCCCAATAAAGATTAGAATACGGGATAGTGCTGTGACCGCAGTGCAATATAAACAATTCCCCGGGGTAAAATGTTGTTGCCTTTGGTAAACAAAGAGAAGAAGGAGGAGAAAGTTTCACGTTCGGCTGAAAACTAGCGTGTTAAACGGAATGTCAATAAGAGGCACCACCCTCTCCGTCTTTCCCGTAATATCAATCTTAGTGTATGCCAATACACTTTGCTGTTGTTCAAACCAAGCTGTTTAGTTGCACGGACAAATCCGTAACTTGACTTGTTAATTTGGCTCCGCCATCTGCGCATTAGCAGCAATAAGAAGTGTCGCTTTAAATAGATGCAACTTTGTACTTGAACACTATCAGTCTTCACACAGTAGAAGAACCACAAGATGATGTTGGGTTCTTTTGGAGAGGCAGCTCTGGTGTTTATGTAGCTTAGCAAACAACCCTAAATGTCAGCGAACATACTTTTTCTGTGAAGGACACCAAAGTGACTGGGCTTTATTATTTGTCATGAGTGTGAGGGATTACTCCAATGCCTGTTAAACAGCGTGTAATCTAGCAGCCTATGGGGACAGGACTAAGCCTTGCCACAATGCTTTGAAAAACAGGCTGGTTCACTTATTAAGTCCCTGTATTTTGGAAGAGACACATGCACACACAGATATGCAGATGCACACAGGAACAGACAAAAAGTTGTGGACTCCTTCCTTCTGAAAAGCTGTTGCACTGATTGTACAGCTTGTTTGTCCCAAAAGATTGCAATGCTTACTGAGCCCCTTAAGTATGGAGTTTAGTCCACAACAGTGTTGATTTCAGCTTAGAGTAGCAAGAAAGCTGCTGATGCACTTCAGGGAGAAAAGGATTCAGGGATGTCATGTGCCCAAATAAGCTCTTTGTTCCCTCAATAATTTCTTGCTTATCTAAATGTTTACAGCTAATTTATCTGTTTCTTGCCTTTTACTTTTGACGTTAAAGTAAACACAATAAATTAGCTTGAATTGATGTTTACTGATTCAGAACACATCCTGGGTTTAATGCTTGAAAGTTCTGGTAGCAAAAATAACAAAGTCTTCTGAGTTTTGTACTAAGTGCCATGTCAAGTGCATGTCATATTCCAATGAGGGTAAATTGTTTCCAACGCATTCTCTCTTCTGTCTTTGTTCCCTATCTTCCACAGGTTGGTTCTGAGCAATTTCTCCAGAATGAACTCCTCTGACGAGTTTTTCCAGGCTGCAAATCATGCAGAGCAGACCTTTCGTAAAATGGAGACCTACCTCCAGCACAAGCAGCTGTGTGATGTTCTATTAATCGTAGGAGATCACAAGATACCAGCTCACAGGTTGGTGTTTGTGCTGTGATCAGCTCTGATTCCAGTAATTACTCCTACATCTGCTATAGATTAGAGGTAAAACAGCTCATCTAGATGCATTTCGTTAATCAGGCGATGCAGGCATTAAAGCTTAGCCCTGGCTCACAGTTTGCAGCTGAATTGGTTAGCTGGATACTTCTGAGAAATAATTGGATGATGTTGGAAATGCAAAGCAAGTATCTTCTGATTATCAGAGGATAGCTGACATGCAAACTCCATCTTTACTGATTAGTTTGTAAATATCGACGGTGCCTGGATCTAATTACAACACCACCCTTACTCATGTCCTCATTGCTTTTGATACCTGGAGGAACACTGTGATCCACAGCACAGAAGGTTTCAATTTTTATGCATCAGGTACCCAGTAGACCAGCTAACTTGAACAGATCACATGACTATTTCTTAATGTTTAAAACCATTGTGCTCACTGAGGGCATCTGCTTGAATGCAAATTTCCTATTTATAGCCAGTTCATCCAATCACACTCATATAAAAAGCAAACTTTCCCCCGAGACAGTAAATAAACTTACCTATAATAATATATTTTCATATACCTATAATATCACATAGCGTCTCTGTTTAAAGTTTGTGTTCTTTCGTTGTTGCTATTCTCTTATTTACAGAATTATGAGGTATAATAAATTACTCATCATTTATTGAACACTAATACATATGTCAGAATACAAGCTAGTGTACATAGGCTATGGTTTCCCCGCAGTGTCATATGATCTCCGTCATGAATCTAACTCTTTGTTATGTGAGCAAGACACGAGTTCACATAATTAGAAGTCAGACTGTTATAGCTTTTAGAAAAAAGAATTGTGGCACAAAATCATTCATCATCCACTGACAAAGTGGAGTCATAAAGAAAACGGCATTACATGTCTTACAGTGACCTCAGATGGCGTTAAATCACTCAGCCAGCAGCACAGCATGAAACATGAAACAGCAGCTGCATGAAATAATTCTTCTGCATAATTTGACTGAATAAACTCTGAAGACATGCTGGTTGTTAATGTGCAACACTAAATTTGAGGGCATGAAACTTGCTTGAAATAATTTCTCGATTAGATTTTCTTTTTTAACATGTGAAGCAATGAAAAGAAAATGTATCTAATGAATTTTTTATTTCATGGCAGACTGGTCTTGAGTGCTGTTTCGGACTACTTTGCCGCAATGTTCACCAGTGATGTCAGAGAGGCAAAGCAAGAGGAGATAAAGATGGAGGGAGTTGATCCCGAGGCCCTCAGATCCCTGGTTAATTTTGCTTACACAGGTGAGTGCTCATCCAGGAAAAAAATATTCCATCGTATATTATTGTAAGGCTTCTGAAATGTTGCTTAATCAAAATGGATCAATAAGATAATTCATCACTGGGATGACTTAGTGGTCAGGCCTTGATCAGAAATTAACCCTTAGTTTTTTAGAAAGCTGACCTTTTGTAAATCCAATTTGATATGTTACAATTACTTTACACATTTATGCACAATTAAAATTGGGAATTTACCGATATTGTTGACCACTGGGATAATGTATGGATGGATGTTTTGTAATATTATATATGACATATAATTAGAAGTAAATATGGGCCATTGTGATAGTAAATATATCTCAATAGAGAATATTAACTTTTTTCTCTACTTTTGATACTTTGATTAAATTTTTTCCATTTATTTGATGCTTTTTTAATTGCTATACAGTACGTGGATTTTTTTAGATTTGAGATACTTTCAGTCCAGTCATAAAAAGCATTTTCTTTGTGTTGACATTGCAGGTGTCCTTGAGCTGAAAGAGGAGACCATTGAGAGTTTATTAGCGGCCGCTTGCCTCCTCCAGCTTTCACAAGTCATCCAGGTCTGCTGTAGCTTCCTCATGAAACAGCTTCATCCCTCCAATTGCCTTGGAATACGATCCTTTGCGGATGCCCAGGGCTGTGTGGACCTGCTGAATGTGGCTCACAACTACACCATGGTAGGGCCGTGAACACAACCAGTCCACATTGATACGGTGGGCTAAATAATTTATTTGTAACAAAGGGCTGTAATCTTCACAGCCTGAATGTACATTAGCAGCCACAGCAATAAAACCCCTCTTAAAAATGATGTTCAGATCTTTACGGCTGCATTAGAATAAACAGAATTTACTTTGCTCAAAATAATGTGTAATATTATACCTCGCTCTTTTGTTATATTCTTGCATTGACTCTTAATATTGCCTTTGTATATTTATTGCATGGTAAAGTCAGTATGTATATACAGTGTCTAGAAAAATGTTTTTCTGGACTCACAGTTCAAAACACATTAGTCTTTTTTAGCAATTTTCTGATTTTATCCCAGTTGATTTAAATTACCTGCCATGAGCTGCAAAGGAATAACATAGTACTTCCCAGGCTATTTTTATTTTCTAATTTCAGTGGAGATGATGAGCACATTTGAATAGAAATTGAATAGTTTCACACCTTCAATTTAGGAGATATGTCAGAGGAGATATGTTCCTGCACATTGATTAGCTACACAGCTATACTTGCTATTTCAATGTATTTCTCTAAGGGATATTTGCACTGGATTAAAATTCATCCACATATTTGTCAGATCATCTCTCTTTGCCAGTCATGCAGAGGTGGCATAGCCGAGGCAGGCGTTATCTCCTGAAGGACATCTGCTCGCCCAGTTTACATAGCCCCCATCCCGGAGCAGGAGGTTAATCTAATCATCAAACTGCACAAGAGGGCCAGCTTCCTGTTCAATCACTTCAGTAATGAACAGGGAGAGCTGTGGGCTTCCTGGTACACCATCCGCTGCGTCCTGAGTGGACCAAGTTGTGTTTTGATAAGCTTGGTTTTTCCTATTTGAGCAGGGCAGCCAAGAACTGCCTCTAACATCCTTTTCCTCCATGAAGCAGTTGCCTGTTTGATGTTGAAGTACATAGAAATGCAACGTTTGATATTGTGAATTAATCAGTATTTAAAAGAAATACAATTAGCAGTCTTTTTCCCCTACCCTCAACAGATGGTAATGAAAAGGTTTAAGTAACACAATCTTGCCAGCTGCATACTGATTAAGTAACACGTTTTACCCATCAAAAAGCTCTGATATTAATCATTTACTGTTCTGTTGCAGTTTAACCCATTTGTTATCCTTCATGCTGATCTTGTTTTCCATGCATTACACAATGTCCATTTAAAAACACATAATTTTGAATGACAATGAAACACTCAGTTTAGCTTTCAGTTTTACTGTCAAATGTTGAAGATAGATCAAAATCAACCGATCTAAACAATGTCAAAAGAGTTGGATGGAGTTTCTACCCGCAGCTTTTCAACCAGAGATCGATAGACGTCCCTCATTTCATTAAGCCTCTCTATGTTAAGCTTTTAAGACCTGACCGATTAAGATCAGATGGAGGCTCTGTGATTTGTTGCAAGTTGATAATCAATACCTTAGCTGGTTTCTGCTACTGTGGAGCTTCCACTCAAAGGCACAAAGTTATTGTGACAGTTAGGTAATTAATGCTCAGTACACAGGGGGAGATTACAGACAAACAATGCCCGGCATGTTTTTCAAGTGTTTTACTGCTGGACATACTGGAGATGCATAGAGGTAGAGTTTTTTTTATAGTATATCATCTCTAATGGAAGTGCCCAGAAGACCTTGAAGTGGCAGTCATGCAACGCTGTCATACTGGCTTGGCCTCTGGCCAATAAATGGAAGATTAATCTTTAGTAAGGTAATAGAGAACAGCTTCCACAAAGCTTAGAGCTGGACACAACGTTGGTAGGATTGTAACGCTGGTTTGCGAGGCCAAACTGTTCCTCAGCAAAAGGATTTTAAGGAGCAAAGATGTCTTCATAGCTTTTAAAGAAGCTCCCTTAAGGAAATGTGTTATGGCTGATTGATTTATACTATTTAGGTCAATACTGAAATAAGAGATGTTAATTATGTTCATTAGTTTCTTAGAGAGAAAAATAAAGACTATTTAACAGCTTATCAGTTCTTAAAGACAAAAGACTAAATGCCACTATCTAACTTCCTGAAGCATTTTTTAACCTCCCTGTCCTTGTGCTATTTGGTCCTCACAGAGACACACACAGACTCTTACACACACACTGATGCACCGAGCGTACTCTTCAGCTAATAACTGATGATTATCTGTCTCCTTTGTGTCTCCTCTCTGTTCCAGGAACACTTCCTGGAGGTCATTCAGAACCAGGAGTTCCTGCTGCTCCCCACGGCTGAGATTGTTAAGCTGCTCTCCAGTGATGACATCAACGTTCCTGATGAAGAAACAATCTTTCAAGCTCTGATGATGTGGGTGAGATATGATGTCCAGCATCGACAACAGGACCTTGGGGTCCTTCTGGCCTACATCCGCCTGCCTCTTTTACCCCCACAGGTGAGTAAGCTGTTTATGAAAGCAGAGGGGAGGATTCCTTTGTTGTCATCGTAACCAAGTCCTTTTATCTGGTACACAATTGCTCTGTATTTGCTGATGAACTTCAGCTAGGGTGTCTGTGTCTGCAATTTAAAATCCATGCTCAGCCACTATGTAAATGACCAAAAATAAATATTTTCCTTTTACTGCTGATAATGGGGAATGTATTATCAATGTGTATGTTTTCTTGGCACGCTCCCCTAAAAATAGTATTTATTTTGGCTTATGTGAAGCATGAAAATATTCATGCCAAAGAATCATTTATTTTAGTTATAAAATGATTTCCAAAACTAATCACACACATAGATTTTTATGTTATTTCTTTGCAAATAAATCACATACACTAGACTATTGTTTGGAAAAACAATGGAGCAGCTGCTTTTATGAAAAAAAAAGGGAAATATGATCTCATACGCAAACTATTTTCTCCATTGGCTTGGGAGAGGCTGTTTTCTGTGAGAGTTATAAACAACAGATATTTATCGTTATTTTAGTCAAGCTGGAACTGATTGTTTCTTCCTCAGTTTCTTTTTCAGCAGAGTGGAACTGCTGACAGGGATTGCAGGGTCAGAAAACCTTTTTAACAATCTAACATTTGTTGAAAAGACAAAATAAACAACATAAAAAGTAATATTTGTAAAGAAACTTCCACATTATTTTGTTTGGCGTCCCTATCCCAAACACATTTCAGACTGATAAAAAGGTACATTTTTAAAACAGAAAAATAAAATATGACAGTTCCAGAACCTTAAAATACTTGTAACTAATATTGTTTTATGAACAACTAAACTGCACAACATATTGTAATATCTTACTTTATGGTAATGCATGCTTGAATTTCTATTTAAACATCAACAAATTATATAAAATTAACAGTCAGTTAAATGTCTTTTCCCTAAAATCTTAAGACAGTCTTTGCACATATTTGACATATGTACATATTTTAAGGCATTTGGTCTTATCATGTAGCTGCTTTATATTATTCTTTACATTCTAGCTTCTGGCAGACCTGGAAAACAACAAGATGTTCTCTGATGATCTGGAGTGTCAAAAGCTGCTGATGGAGGCCATGAAATATCATCTGCTGCCTGAACGACGTCCCATGTTTCAGAGTCCAAGAACCAAACCAAGAAAATCCACCGTGGGTGCCCTTTATGCTGTGGGAGGGATGGATGCCACCAAAGGTATGACTCACAGAAAGTGGCTGCCAGCCTACCAGCAGCGAGGAAAAAAACTGTAACGCAGTTTGTTTTGGATCGCAGGCTCTACCACCATTGAGAAGTACGACTTACGAACAAACACCTGGGTCCAGGTTGGAGTCATGAATGGCCGGCGGCTCCAGTTTGGCGTGGCAGTGATAGACAACAAGCTGTATGTAGTGGGAGGGAGAGATGGCCTGAAAACGTCTAACATGGTGGAATGCTACAATCCTATCAGCAAGGTGTGGTCCACCATGCCCCCAATGTCAACACACAGACACGGACTCGGTAGGTGTCTTTGCCAGGAAACAATATAGGGAATGTAGACAAAAAATCCAGCCAGTATTTGAAGACACTTTATTTCTTTGTTCAGGGAAATGCAGCCTTTAGTTCATGGGGAAAATTGTTTTTACAAATGTAGCTCATCTATCTCTCAGGTGTCGAAATTAAAGTAGAATAGGCCTTCATCAGTTGTCATGACATTGAAAATAGCTGGACGCATGCTAAGAAGGGTTGGAAATGATATGCGTTAAAGGAGAAAAAAAAAGTACAACCCACATTTCTTTGATGCAGACCTTTGATATTTTCCTGTTCCAATATCAAAGTCTGGCGAACAGTGCTGGCCTGCTTTCCCTTGCCCTTCCCTGCCCAGCTCGTCTCACATCCGAATCGTTTTGATTCACAGTTGAAACAGGTTCTGCTAACAGAGCAGGGTGATCTTGTCAAACATTCAACTCACTCACCCGGTGTGGTCGGCGGTATCTGCGAGACCAGGAGATCACGCTGCTCAGATTACCTTGGCTGTCTCTGATCTCCTCTGTAGCAAATGTCTCTTGCTCCTTTGCTCATCATGTGCATATTCTTAGTCTGAATATATTTTAACTTGGGGTCTGTGAACATCCCTTTGTGGACGTTTCCTGCTGTGTGAGTTGGGTGAAAACAAGAAAGAGACAGTGCTATTCATTCTCAAACCACGGTGCCGTCATGCCCTTATATTCTCGAGAAATATCTGAATTCTCACCCAAGTTATTGGAGGTTGTAAAAATGAAAATCTATTGTGTTGAAACACACCTGGCATTGTTGCTGGTGGAAAGTGCTCTCCTCTGTTACTTGGAATGAGAAAAAAGAGCAATATTTCATAGTCTTCCTGTTTTCTGAATAGATTTCAGCTGCAGGATGAGTCAGACCATCTATCAGATCTCCACAAGATTTTACTGTAAAACTTTTTTGCTTGATTCATCATTCACCGACATTTGGTTTACATTACTTTGTGCCTTATAATCACACACAAAAACAAGCTGTAGCTAACACCTTTACAAAACCTATTACAAAAAAAAAAAGTCATTTTAAATTGAACTATTTTTTGTTTTCATTTATGCAGGCATTGCTGTGCTCGAGGGGCCCATGTATTCTGTGGGAGGACATGATGGCTGGAGTTATCTCAACACAGTGGAGCGGTGGGACCCACAGGCCAGGCAGTGGAACTATGTGGCCAGCATGTCGACTCCACGGAGCACTATGGGAGTCACAGCTCTCAATGGAAAGTGAGTTGTTCATCATAATCGTTCTTCTTGTTTGGCTAAGAGATAAGTTCATGTTTATTTTGTAGAAGTAATACTCTGGAACCAACTTGAAGAGCTTGCTTACTTTCATAGCATTACAATGGCGTCACAATTACAAATCGTGATTGAGCTTCTGCTATTTGTTACCCCATGAAAACTGAATGAATAAGACACAATGTGGCCACTCTCACAAACATTTTTGGAAATGTTCAAATAAATATTATGTTTTAATCGGATACCATTGTACTTCTTATTTGATCTAATTTACTTTACTTATGATATCCTATTGCTATATTTTGATATGTCTTGTTTGGATTCTGCTCCTATTAAATTCATATAAACTTTTTAATATGAATTTTATATTATAGCCATTCCAAAATGTTCTGATTTACAGTGAATTGTGAAACTATGAAACTCTCAAAAATGGATTTGTTTTATGGTTGTGTAACTTGCAGTGCACTGTTCCAAGAAAAGCCAAATTGCATTTTGCAACATTGTCCTAGAATTTGGTTATGTTCCTTGCGAAACAGTCTGCAGCTCAGAGCATCGACTACTTTGATAGACTACTTTGATATAATCCATACTGTACACCTTTACCTCTATAAAGGCAAAACGTTTTATGTGTGTGTATAAAATGCATTATAACACAATTTAACTATAGGTTTAGCAAATGGGTGACCAGAATTCAGCCTAAAGCTTTGTGTGCTCAGGGAGAAATTGGGCTGCAGCTGGGCTGCATCCAGTCTTCAGTGTAAAAGTTATTTTTGCAGCTAGGTCAAAAATAGACAACAAGGAAAATCTTTCTCCATCCTCAACTCTCTGGATATTTTGCCTGAGAGCTACAAGCATTTACAGCACAGAAGGGCTCTTTATAGAAAAGAAGGATGGAGGAAGATGCCTTTGAACATTGCTCAAAGTAGCATATCCTTTATGTCTATCACATGATCACTCTGTCACAACAACTTTTACAAACATCCTCTGGCGCATTCTGCTGTGCTGGATATGCAACGTGTAAGATGTATATCCCCTTTGTTCAATCTCTCAGACTGTTTGCAGTTGGTGGTCGTGATGGCAGCTCGTGTTTGAGGTCGATGGAATGCTTCGATCCGCACACCAACAAGTGGAGCATGTGTGCACCCATGGCGAAGAGGAGAGGAGGTGTGGGTGTAGCAACCTACAACAACTTCCTGTATGCTGTGGGAGGACATGACGCCCCCGCTTCCAACCACTGTTCGAGACTCTCTGACTGTGTTGAGAGGTCAGTAAATGCTTCACGAACACTATGCTGTGTTTGGCTGTTAAAGGAACTCTGCTCTGGATTCTGATCCCCACCCTGTTCCTGCTTTGTCGGACATGTCTGTGTTATCACATTACCAGACTGAGGACACCATGTTTTCTAATAAATTCAATTCATGGTGTTGGGCACCATCTGGTGGCCACAATTTCACCCTGAACCTGAACTGTGTTTAATGGTAACCAAATTGAGCATATTCATATTCATATCTATCAAGGTGAAGTAAAAAATGAATAAAAAAATTTAAAATAATTTTCTTATGTTCAAACTGAACCTCATCGAAACACTATACAAATAAATAATTAATAATAATATACTTAATATACTATAATATACCACAACAATATTATATCAAATGTAAAATAGCGAAGTAAGAAACTGAAAAACCTGTACAACACCTAATTGCAAACAATAATGATTAATCATCTATAATAGCATCCCAATCTCATTAGCTCAACGTGGAAGCTTAACTCGTTTCCTGTTACTTCTATGGTCAATATTAGAATGTCGTAACACCCTTGGTGGCAATAGGATGCAATTTTTGCCAGAATAATTCAGGTGGCTGGAATGAAACCACTCAGTTTGGTTACTTAATCAAAAATGACTTTCACAGGTATGATCCAAAGACAGACACGTGGACCACTGTGTCGTCACTCAGCGTTCCCCGGGATGCGGTGGGGGTTTGCCTGCTGGGTGACCGGCTTTACGCAGTGGGTGGATACGATGGCCAGTCATATCTGAAGACTGTTGAGTCCTATGATGCACAGAACAACGAGTGGACTGAGGTAAACACAGCAGTTCACAGTTTTTATGCCATTTTTGCCATTCTTTTTCTAATCTTTTATGTGATTTTAATGACTAAACCAGATCCCAGGTTTGATTTGGGATATTAAAACCTCTGATATTTAAACGATTTCAATGAAACTATGCTTGTTGTGCAAGAGCTATCTCCATGTAAGATTAGGGCTTCAGTTGAAATCCTTTAGGAGCACTAATGAAGTCACAGAATCTTATCAATATTTTATTGTGGCTTTTTTTTTTTTTTTACCCCTCCCCAATCTTGGCAGTGTAACCTTATTATCTGCATCAAGGGAAATGAAGTCTGCCTCTGATGGAAAGCTGCATGTTAACCTTTGTCTTCCTGTAGGAGGTCCCTCTCAACATTGGAAGGGCGGGCGCCTGTGTGGTTGTGGTAAAACTGCCTTGAGCGTTTTGTCGCACTACAGCATGAAGAGCAAACGAGAGCGGCACGCGGAGTGGACAAACAAAACAACAAATTGAGGACACATCCTCTGAGAGTCATGTTTTCATTTTTTCTCTACTTTAACTCTGCTCTCCAGATTTTTCAGAGGAAAACACAGAGAGGGTTTTTCCCACAAACCATTGTTCCTATCATTAGTGGACATATCTGCCCACTAGGGAGGATTTGTTCTGAAACTGGAATGCAATGCACACTCTTGACATTCTTGACCGATCAAGAATTTTCATAGACTTACTAAGCTGTAAGAAACCAGCATCAAAGCTTTGTTGTACTTGTTTGTTGCAATAATTTCAAGAAACTTATTTCAGTGTTGTAAAGTAAAAAAAAAAAAGCTAAGAGTTACATTTTCAGATAATAAACCCATCCCCAGTTTAGTTTACAATTTTACATACACATTTATTACTAGTGCCATTCCATACAGTATATTTTGGGCTTGGTATGTCTCTTAATAGCTTCTATAAGAAGAATTTCTGTAATGCTGTACCAGTGTCTTTGATATGAACATTGAGGCTGCTGAGTTTGCCTGGCTGGTATGAAGTTATAAAGAAAAAGCCTGTAGCCACTGAACACCAAAGTCATGCACCTGTCTTGGAAGTCTTGTAACACATTACGCAAAGGTTTACAAGTTTGTGAATCACTGAAAAATATATCATATTGATATTTCACACTGCTGTACAGATTTTTGTCAACTTGCTGATACCACATTTGTATGTAAAACATCATGCTCAAACCAACCAGTACCTTCTGATGAGTACAGACTGCATTATTCTTTTGGCTTTACTCCTGGAGTTGCTAGCAGAACAGTTGTTTAGATTCACACAATTAATGCGTATATACAAAAAGATGATTTTACTGCCCCATTGCTCATGTTTGTTATCCTATCTTAAACAGCTGAACCTTTGGATTACCCTTTGGTAACACCAACATAACCTGTGGAACCAGATGCATCGATGTGAATCTAACAGCTATTGTTATACATTTTTACATGCTGCACAAAGAGACCTGATTTCCACAGCAGTTTTTACATTTGTAGTTTGATGACCTGCTCGAGAAAATGAAATAATACTAGTTTTGTTCACAAAAACCTATTTCTAACTGTAATTGAAACACATCTGGTGGCCAAATGTTACCTTACATGTTTTTATCATAATTTTGTACAGCATGAAAACCGAGAAATAAAATGACTTCAGTCCTCTCTGCATGATCAAATCCATGTTTTCAGCTGTGCGCGTATGGTTTAGATTCTTTAATTCTCTTTTGTGTGCTGTGGGCAAACATAACTGGCTCCGTATCTAAACATGCTCGGACACCAACCATCAAGTCAGTATTAACCATAGTTTTGTTCTCATTGCAGCAGCCCTTTCTTTGTTGGTATCACTGTTTTTCTGCTCTCTCACCAACAGACTGCATACCAATTGCTTCTGCTGCACTTAATTTTTTTACCCACTTTTTGTTTACCCTCTAAATAGCTTCCCTTCTTCACCCTCCTCCAACTTGTTTGGTGAAAATTTGATTGTTTTTTTTTTCTGACAAAATAGTAGACTCTGCCCACACATGAATATTTGACTCATAAACCTGTTGTTGCTTTCAAAACACAAAATATTGGACAAACATTTGCACAAAACCACTGAGTAAAAATGAATCTCCTTCTCTAACTTTCTACTTGCATTTGTCCACCTTTACTTCTGTCTAATTTCAAGCAAAAAAAAGATAAAGAAACCGTACCTCTTCAAAGTATAATTTTGAAGGCCACATCGTGTAAAATGTTTCTGAGGATATCTTGATGAAGCTACGGGAGGAAAGGTGGGAAGTGATGGGGGGCTGCGGTGGGGCGTCAGAACTAACCAAACCACTGCATCATGTAGGCTGTTGCAGTTTGCCAGAAGAATATTAATCACATAAATGACTACACTCCAGATTGGCTCAATAATATGTGGTTTTACTCTCATGCATAACACAACAGAATACCCAAAGAGAGAGTTTAAACCTCGGAGTGAAATTTGACAAAATGAATGCGAGTTTCCCTCACATCGATAAAGAATTTAAAATGTTTTATATTTTTATCATTTATGCATGAGGATTATTTTATTGTCATGGGTCAGCAGCTTTAGCTTAGAAATCACTGATATACCCACAGACAGTCAGGGCTTCATAATGAGGCCATGAAACACTGCCTCGGAGCAAAACATGCATCAGGATTCCATGTCTGATTCTACTTTCAAGGACAGAACAAATCTGGAGAAATTGAGAAACAAATTCAACAAAGTAAATCAAGGATTGCAAGTTTACGTAGATCAGCTGGGGTTTCTGTAGGTCTGAAACGTAGTGCAGGAGGTCATGGCTGCTTTATTTTAGATGCTGAAACACAACACTGGTGAACATCTTTTTCAGATTAACTTTGAACCCTTACATGTAGATGCATATATATATAATTATGTTATATGATTTTGTGGAAGAAAAAGCTTATTGCTTCCTATTTTTGCCAATATCATTTGAAGTGGCAATTCCAAATGTGCATACCATATAATGCATAGTACATTATGGCACAAAACACGCACTCCCCTCTTGCAATGTGTGTTCACAGCATAAATGATGCATCCCCTTTAGTGTTCAAAACACTTAAAAATACTCATCTTAACTGACTGTAATCATTCAATTGAAGAGAACTTGGGCACACTTGAACATACTAAAATTTATAAAAAGCTTTTGTTTGGCTTATTAATATTTTCTAAACCGTGGAGATTATAAAAAGAAAAATACACTCATGATTTAAATTTTAAGAAATGTTTGAAAGGATGAGTATTCTCTGTAGAAGGACATGAAACAAAACAGAATATTCAGGATTTAGCACAGAAGTCCTTGGCCAATGCAAAGTTCTGAAATCTTCATGTACACATTTTAGAAAAAGGCGGTGCAAAACAAAAGTCTAAATGTTCTTTTCTCAATTCGTGTCTTCATAAATGTTGCATAGACCAACAGCAGAGTCCCGCATGGTGATGTAATCATATTATAAAATATCAAGAGAGGGTGCTGTTGCACTGCTGAGCAAATCCTCACCACCCTGAACAGGATCAAAATCTCCAATACCATCACTGTTCATAATAAATGTCAACCAGCATTAAGAATGCAAAGGACAAATACTTGAGCTAATAACCCTGCATAATTATTGAGACATGATGATGAAATGTTGGGAAATTGGATGTTAAGGCATCTCATTCTGTTACTTTCAATGAGCGTCTTGCTGACTTTTAAGGGAAGCTTGAAGGCTGAATAAGATGAATTCTGACTGGAACGATGATTTGTCAGGTTTCAAAAGGATTTTGGCGTTGTGAAATTTCCAACAATTTCTCCTAACAGTATGACAAAGCTTTACACATTGTTTTTTTTTCCTGCACCATGTCGCAAAGCCTTTTCAGGAAGATTTATTTTTGAAGAGGAGCAGTTCTCTCTCATGTCTGGTAGTTTTTTGTGACAGTTAACTGAAATGGAACGCGATGGGAGTAACATGCAAAAACTATTTCCCTGTAATGCTTAGTGATGGAGAGACAGAGTACATATACAAAATTTCAAAGCTTTTTAATGCACGATGTATATCTGGATTTAGCAGGGATTAAAGTTTTTATAAACTAAGAACAACAGAACGATAAAAAATAACATGCTTCATGCAAGAACTAGATTTCATTCCATGTTTTGTGCTAGATAAAAGAAAACCCTGCACAATTGTTTGCTGTCAAAATACAGCTTCAGAATCCAGAACAGATCATTCGGTATACTGCTCACCAAAGAATGAAGGTTTTTTTTTCTCCCCCGGATTTGTATGGTTTACATGCCTAAACACAGGGCTCTAGGAAAGAATGCGAGTGAGAAAAAACTAAAAGCATGCAAGAGCTCTTCGCCACAGGAAATAAAGACAAGTGCCACAACAAACTGTCAACTAAGAATAAGATTGTCTCGTCATGCCTGCTTAAGTAAGCCCGTTAAAGTGGCACTTTGACACATTGCAGAGGATCGCAATGTCAGGCAAACTGCTGTGTCTTCTTTTCCCAGGTGATGGCAATTTTTGCCCTGCAAGAATATTTAATAAGAGACAGACTTCAGAGAATCAACATATTTAACACATCACATATCTAACAAGGGAGATGTTTCCATTCAGCGAGCAATCCAGGTGAGCTGTGGAAAAACACCTGCTCGTAGCAGTACTCTAACAAGCTGCAGCCTCTGAGTGACACTGACAGTGATAAAGTGGTTGGCTGAACTTTTATGTGTCCAGCACTAATACAAAAAATGACAGTTGCTTCTTATGTCTGATCAAAGGCAGAAGACCAGTACGGTAGATTGTTTCTCTCTCGAACCCCCCCCACCCACACGTCAAACCCTGTCTCTGTCTAATCATAGTTGAATACATTGTCATCTCATTATCTTTGAAGAGCAGAGCGATCCCTCCCATTTGAGTGGGCACTGTGTCTCCTGCCCTCTGTGGGGCCCAAAGACTGGTGAAGCGCATTCTCGACTCATTATGTTGAGCGAGAGATATCAGACACATCCCATCTGCCCAACGCCTTCCACACACATGCTTCCGTGCTTCAGCCACAGAAGCTGGAACTGTTCAACTGTGGCTCTATAACTCAGCAATGAGAGGAATGAGGCCGACATTCTAAGCTGGTTTTGACACTGATGGTAGCTATCTTCATCAGACTATCGTGTGCTATCAGATTAGCTCTGTTGGTATGAGCACAGTATAGACCTACTTCTGATTATATTAGTACAGGCAGGGATGTTGTTTTTTGCTTTGGGAATCATTAAGGAGCACTTGATTCTTCTATACCCATCTCTGCTGCATCTAACGCCGTCATTAATATTGCAGAACAACTTAGTACAGCTCTTCATGTTTTCTAACTAAAACACCATCCATATTTATCCCCAGAAGAGGGCTGCTATGGAATATTTCTAGCAGTAAATTGGCTAAATTGTCAACTTGAAAAAACTCAACAAAATACGCTCGGTGGGAACAAAATACTGTTTCCATTTCAAAATGGTTTGTGTCACTATTCCATAATGAATGTATGGTGCTCAAAACCAATTCACAATAACTTGTGACATAAATGCCAAATTGGTCCCAGATTCTCTTGACTGGCTTTAACAGATGTCATGGGCTGGTTGCCAAAACATCTTATTGTGGACACAGTACAGTGAAACCACAATGCTGATCTACATGATGGATGTCAGATCAAAATGAATCCAGCCATGGTTTTACCAGCTTTGAATTCATGCATGGGGAAGCCTGTCAGGGGCGAGAGATGATGTGGACGCTGGCTCTCACTGTTTGTCAAGATTTTACATCCCTCCCCCCACTACCCGTTTGAAGCTAGTCATCTGCTGTCTAGCAGCTCCCTGCCAATACGCCTGAGAATCTAGTTTCAACATTTGTGCACTTCTCGCAGGAATGAATGCAATCAGACGGCTTTGTGGGTGTAGAGCATCTCTTTGCATACACCTTGCAATCTATCATTTTAATGGGTCTCAACTTTTGCAGGGAACTCGCTTAAATCTGGCAAGCTCACTTGTATATTCATTGTTTTATGCGTCTGATCCAAACAACCAACTTTTGGCCGATCAATTTAGTATTTTTCCACAGACACTGTGTGTAGATGATAGACATACATAAGTTAAAACATTTAAAAATGTTTTGACATCAATAAGAATAATGAAGAAACATAAAGACTTTAAAAAGATCACATGGATATAACCAGCCCGGTACTTAAAATGAGTGTTTTTTGCTTACGGACAGGACAAATTATGCTGTTAGAATCAGTTTCTAAGTCTTTGCTGTATCCTTAATTCACAGTACCTTGTGTCGACTTCAATAACATAATAGTTATTATGTTGAAGGACACACATTGTGCATTTTCATTGCTCCTTTTCGCTGATAAATCCTTGCATTGGGAGCCAAAAAATAGCATGCCACTGTTGTGTCTGTTACTCCTCTTACCTTGTCTGATCAGTCTCCCCGGCACATTACTGCTGCCCGTGCAAAGACCGCTTACGAATTGCCTCCAGAGCTAAATCACTTCTTTTGTCAGACCCGAGTGCCTCTCTTTCACAGGCCCATAGCTTACTGCTATTGTTAGTGAAGATGAACAGCCCACGACAATTAAAGGTGTGGACCATTACTTCTGCTGTAAGGAAGGTTAGAGCTGATTCTTTACAGCCGAAGGGAAAACACCAGGGTATCTTCATATGTCATTCAGAGCCATAATGGAAGGCCTTGGAATGGATGAAGAGCCAACAAATGTACACAGTGTTACACACTTTGGGTCCTTTTTGTGCAGCCATGTCAGAGGCAACCCATACAAGGTGAGAATGCCAAAGACAGAAACGCTGTGAAACCTAATTGGAATGAGCCTTCAATAAAAAGAACTAAAAGAAAACACAGCAATTAGACCAAAATAAGAACTGTTCAGTTAAATGAAAACAGGAACAGACGTATCCTCCGGAGACCCTGC